TCCCTTCCAGGCTTCAAAAGTGAAGCGGATGTGCCCTCTTGCAAGTTTGCTTGCCTTTTCGTTTCCCGGGAGCCCATACCAAGTGAAGATTAGACTGCTCAGCCATCTCGTTTAGAGACCTGCGACAGTCCTCTACGGTTTTCGAACTGCATATGACCGAGTCAAGCGCTTTGAGTGCAGCTCGACTGTCTGAGAAGATGAAGATATTGTTACATATGTATGAATTCTCTTGCAGCCTTCTCAGCCGCCTTCTGTACAGCAGCGAATTCATCTTGAAAGACGCTGCAGTTGTTAGGTAAGCAAAATTATATTTCCAGCCCCATCCGGACTAAGTAGAACCATGCAATTGATAAAGAAGGAAAAGCTGAATCCTATTAGCGGAACTTCATGCACTTGAAATGAATTTTAATAGCAAGTTTATGAGTTATACAGAAGGTAAATTGGAAAAAAGTAAAGTGCTAGAAGTTAGGAAAACGGGTGGGGAATTTTTTAATTTGTGTATTTTGAAAATATTAGACAAAATTGCTATCAATAATCCATTTGCGAATGTCTGGAGTTTCTAGATTCTGAACTGGTTCTAAATCAATGTAAAATAATTAGCGGCTAGTGTTTGTAAAGCATAGCGGTATACGCAGATGTTGACCAATTTGATTTAAAGGACGAATGGACAAGTATTTTGAGTGATTCTATTATCAAAAAAAGTAAAAGAAAGAAAGTAGCGGTGTGGAAAAGTTTGGGAAGTATTCGTTAACAAAAGGGCAGAAAATGGAGATTTGTTATATCCATTTTAAGGAAATTATATAGTTTGGTAACATTTTTGCATCATTCTAATGTTGACTGCCACCGATTTTTTTCAATAACAGTCGGTAAAAAAAATTAAATGGCCGTTTGTTGAAATTAATTTTGTCCTTAGAAATTATAAAATTAAAAAATAAATATGTGTATACATGCTATCTGTATTGCACATCTATGAACATACAAATGTTTCTTCAACCGAAAGCATTTTATGAATTATGTAGATACATGCAGCATGCAGATTTAGGGTTTTTATTAGCCTGATTGCTGGCCACACTGTGCACAGCTGATTTTTGTTCTCCAATCGGAAAAAATTCTACAGCAAAAACACCAACAACGAAATCTGCCACAACAAGTGGAGAATTTTTTGCCATTTACAATTCTCCAGTTGTGTTATACGCTAGCATTTGTTGTAAGGTGGTGTATTAAATTAATTAATTAACTAGCAATTTGGTTTAAAAAGTGTATTGAGTGTTGAAAAGATATAGTTTAGTACAAATATAAAAAGAAACGCAATAAAGTTGCAGCACAAAGCAAAAAAAGTAGAATTGTAAGCTCAGTGAATCGTAGACATTCGTGCGCGGTCAGGTGGAACGCTAGCAACAACAATACGCTTGAAGTCGGAAAATACTTATTCGAAAAGTGCATTTATGTACCTAAAGAATTACAAAAGCTGCAATTAACTGCGTTGTTAATAAAAAAAATATACATATATCCAGTGCTAGCCTCCCATTACTAGTAGTGCAACATAATTGTGAGAACAATAAATACTTGTCAAAATGACGAATATGCGGCCACCCAACAAAACCATCCTCTTGAAAGTGGTTATTCTCGGGGATGGCGGCGTAGGAAAATCCTGTCTGATGAATCGCTTTGTTTCAAATCGCTATGACGAAAACAACTTTCATACAATTGGCGTTGAATTTATGAATAAAAACATTGATGTGGATGGCGAGAAATACACATTGCAAGTAAGTCCAGCACAGAATTAGTACAACATGTGTGTATGTTTGAATGTATTGCTTGGTAGAAGGTGACCGAAAATTGTGTAGATATAAAATCAAAATAAGCAGAGGGATATATAACTACGCTTGATTTTTATATATACATACATACATACATTGTTCAAATTATTAAAAGCGTTAAGCAGGAAGCCGCCATGGCAATGAGCCTCAAAGTCAAACTACTACTTCTGGTTAGGTAAGGAAATTAGTAGTAGTGGGGGTGGATAGTAGCAAAGTAGGTGTACAGTATGTAACTTTATTAACTTATGCTAGTTAAATGCAGGTATTCCCATTGTGTATACTTCCACATATATACATACAAAAATGTATATGTACTTACCTCAAGCCACACAGTCCTATGCTATGTAGTCCACTCATCAATAATCTAAAGCTGTTAGTGCCAACTCATGAATAATGTTAGTTATTGTAAATAAAGGTGTTATGTACTTTATTTATTTTACCCGAATTTAAGATCGGTTTGCACCACTAAGCAAAGACTACAAACGAGTACGTTAGGCGCATTTTTAAATGTAGTTTGATAAACTACTTAAGGTCTTAGCAAGTGCGTTGTTTTATTGCTTTGTTAGTTGTATATAAATGAGAAGACGTTTTGTTTCATGATAAAGCCAGAAATATTGTAGTTCGAATCAAATACAATGTGAGCAGCACCGCTGGACTCTCGTTACTCTGGCACAATTAAGTAAGGTATGCATTTTAGTGATGCACAGAACCGAGAAACCGCAACCGGCTCCTACAAAAATCGAAAAAACGGTTCTAACGGAATACCATCTTGATTTCAAAATAACCGAAAAACGGTTCCTGAAGTACCGTACTCGAAAGACCCAAAAACAGTTCTAGATAAACCCGAAAACGTTCTGGCATAAAGCCTTAATATAAAGATACATGTCTGCTCGAAATTCAACTTCGGGGAAATGTTTAGTTATTTGCAGGTCGTTTTTGGGGTGGGCGGCGGAGGG